ACAATTAGCACAGAAATTTCTATTTGAGTGTTCTGGGATCGATATCATAACCTGTAACATAATTGTCATTTGTATTTACAGAATACCGGGAAGTGATACGTCAGTATTTATTAATAGATTGGAAGAATTATTAGATTTAATAACAAAAAAATATAAAAGTAGAAAAATCATTCTTTGTGGGGACTGGAACATCGACACCTTGAAAAAAAAATAAAACATCTAACGAATTATTAAGTGTACTTAAAAGTTATAATTTTGAAATACATATAAAATATCCAACAAGACAACAATCTTGTATTGACCAAATCGCAAGCAACGTAAGAAATGTGAATGCTAAGCTTCATTACTTAGGGTTATCTGATCACGAAACTGCACAAACTATTACACTAAAAACAAATAAAAGAAAAAGTAACACGTCCTGGACAGAATATAGAAGGGATTATAATAAATTTAACATTAATAAGTTTCGTGAATGTATAAGGCAGTTGAGTTTTAGTGAAGTGTACGAGCAAGTGACTATAAATAAAGCATTCGATACATTTCATAAGCTAATATTGTTATTTTATGATTTATGCTTTCCGATAATTAAAATTAAATTTAAATCAAATAATCAGAAATCTATATGGCTATCAAAAGGAATAAAAAAGAGTTGTGTCAAAAAGAGAATATAATATTTAAAATTTAAACACGCTAAACACAATAAAAAAGTAAACGCGAAAACTTACAAGACCTATAGTAAAATTTTACAAAAGTGTATTCATACTTCACAACAAGTACAATGTAAAAAATATATAGAAACAAGCAAAAATAAAGGGAAGGCTATATGGAAATTAATTAATGATAATATTAATAGTGAACATGAAAATAGACAAATTGATATGATTAAAATTGATAATATAATACATAATGATCCAAATATAATATGCAATTTATTCAATGACTATTTTGTAAATTCAATAAGTAAAAATTCGACGTTAAATTCTAATTATACTGATAATATCAGTAAGAATGATAATGCCAAAACAATATTTTTGACACCAAGTAGCGACACTGAAATTATGGATATTATAAAAACATTAAAAAATACAAACTTAGTAGGTTATGATTCAATTAGCACAAAAATTTTGAAAACATGCTCTACTCATTTATGCAAACCATTATCCTACATTATTAATATGTCGTTTGAACAGGGCTGTTTTCCAGATGGTTTGAAAATGTCTATAATAAAGCCATTACATAAAAAAGAGGATGTAAGTGATATGAATAATTATAGGCCTATAGCACTTATTCCAGTCATTTCTAAAATATTTGAGAAAGCTATGCTAAAAAGGCTAAATGACTTTATGACTAAAAATAATATCTTGAATCAAGAACAATATGGATTTAGGAAAAACAGCTCAACATCTTTGGCTTGTTTTGATTTAATAAAATCGGTAACGGAGGGATTGAATAATAGAGAGCACGTAGCTGCAATATTTTTGGACTTGACTAAAGCTTTTGACTGTTTAGATCATAATATTGCATTAAATAAATTATATAAATACGGAATAAGAGGAAATGCACATGATTGGCTAAAAAGCTATTTACAAGATCGCAAACAATGTACAGAGACGTTTAAAATTATCAATGGCTATAAAAAAATTTATAGATCTATCCCAAAATTAAATAAAGTAGGAATTCCTCAAGGAAGTATTCTTGGACCATATATTTTTTTGACGTATATAAATGATTTGCCTAATATAATCACACATAAATGTATACTATATGCTGACGATACAACTATATTAATAAAATGTAAAAATAAAGATGACCTAGAAACACAAATTAATGACACTTTACAAAATATTATAAAATGGCTAACAGAAAATAATTTAAAAATTAATTTAAATAAAACCAAAATAATACAATTTGGCACATATCATTCAAAATCTGTGAAAATGAATATAAATTATCAAAATCAACCAGTGGAATTAGTGGATAGTGTCAGATTCTTAGGTATAACTGTAGATAGACATTGTAATTGGAAGGCCCATATAGAGGCCTTGTGTAACAATCTCCATAGATTCGTGCATGCGATACGAAAATTAAGACTATCAGTATCAGAACAAGCTGCATTGAGCGCTTATCATGGATATGTCTCCTCCATACTTTCATATGGATTATTAATATGGGGAAACTCTACAGAAATTTCCAGAGCATTTGTTGTACAAAAGAAGTGTGTTAAAGCTATATGTGGTGCAAAAACTAGAGAAAGTTGTCGCCCTCTTTTTAAGAAATTAAATATTCTTCCACTGCCATGTATGTACATTAGAGACCTTTGTATATTTGTAAGGGAACATGCTGGCTATTTCAAAAGAGTATCGGACTCAAAAATACGTGTAACTCGACCAAATGACAAATTATGTGTACCAAAGTGTAGATTAGATTTACATAAAAGGAATGCATATTGTATGGCTATTAAAGTTTACAATCATCTACCAAATTACATTAGAGAAATAACAGCCCATACAGTGTTCAAACATAAACTTAGGAATTGGCTTTTATGTAATAATTTTTATACCATCAATGAATATTTAAATAAAAAAAACAAATGTACTTGACAGTCTATACTGGAGATGTGATTGACGCTTTGGCTCTTGTTTTCTTTTCTATTTACTGTAATAAATTATGTGTGTGTTAAGTAGTATGACTAATAAGGGGAAATATAATGTAGAATTCTGTAATTTTTTCATATTGTTAATAATTTGCACGCCGACATAGAGGCAGAATGTATATGGGAAATGTAAACCTCTTTCATCGAAAACTACCTACATTCTAGCAAAATAAATTCATTTCATTTCATTTCATTTCATTTCATATATATACACGTATACAGAATCGTTACTGCACAAGCCCACGCTCTCATACATACATACACAAATTTCACAAGTAGTAACTAGACATTTCTATTTCTGTATTGTTTTACATAACAACCCGCTCTTATTGACACAATTAATTAGTTAACTAACCTACTGGAAAAACCCAGATCGATATTTTATGTATATATATATATACACATAACAAGCAATACAATAAATTTACAAAATAGAAAAATGTCAATAGGGGTAAAAAGATCAAGAAGAACCCTTACTGTACCCATGGGGTACTTTTTATCCTGGCCACTAGGACCAAGTCACTGGTAAATGTCATTTATTTACATAAATACCGATCCTACTTTCCTGTTTAATATCACTAATAGATCGCATGCGACTCGAACCGACGAGACCTCTCCCCCGTCGTCCACTTAATTGATTACAAATTACTCGTATAATGTTCTATATATTAATATGGATAGACAGACAAACACTGTAACCATAAATATAGATTTACTAGCTGACCCCGCGAACTTCGTACCGTTTAACAGTCGATTCTTTAATTTTTTAGTTTTTTTAATACTTATTCTGCTATTCGCGACGCCGGGTCAGCTAGTAAGGTAAAAAAAGAAAAAAGAAAGTTAATAAGTCAACAATTACAATTATGTCAAAAAATAAAAACTATAAAACACGCCGTGCCACGTCACTCAATTGCTTTGTCTTCCCGGAACCTCTCCACTTTATGACATAGTATTAAAGTTCAAATTGACTTTTAAGTATCCCATACAAATCGTTTGTATGGGACTATAGAAAAGTATTGTTTATAGACTTTTTTAGGGAACTCTTTAAATTCTTCTCTCCGTAAGAACCATCCTTGTATTTCAAGAAATATTCTAGAAAAAGAATTAGCGAAATCGGTTCAGCTGTTCTCGAGTTTTGCGCTTAGCAATACATTCAGAGATTCATTTTTATATTATAGATGTAGTTTCCATAAGTATATGATTAGATTAGTAGCTTATAATTAGTTAAGCATAAGTTATTTTTACAGATATTACGAAGAGTCCGTAACTTTAAGTGTAGCAACGAATAAATATATATTTATTTGTAAAAAACATGGTAAATATACAGATGTTAAATAAATAAAAAAAATAAATAAATAATAAGTCCACATAACTTGCCATAATTAGACATTTTACCAGAGGGAGACTTTGTACAAAAGTCGTTTGCTTGGCCACCTCTGTCGTATTCGTGTTTCAACCGTAAAGCAGTTGGGTTTGCATGGCTGTGTTTCGGTTTGAAGGGTGGGATATGGCAGTGAATTTACAGGGTACAGAGGAATATCACCTGAGTCCTCAGGAATGGCAACGCATGGGGGGTATCATTATTGAAATAGTATACTCTGTTACGTCCATGGCAATGCTCATGTCTATAGGCGACGGTTACTACTTTCCATCAGGTGGGCCGTCACCTTGTTTGCCATTCTAAGTTGTATAAAAAAAAAATATTTATTTATTTAAACTTTTAATGCACAGTAAAATTCTATGTACATTTGGCGGACTTAACACCGGACGGTGTTTTCTACCAGTTAACCATTGGGCAAACAGAGAAATACATAGGCAGTGCATTTTTCTATATATCCTAGGTTAGTTAGTACACAGAATATTTTATGTATTGATTCACGCGATCAAAATTGCAGGATGGAGCTAGTACTGAAGTAACAAAACACATACAAGTAATAAATGTAATATAAAAAAGTTTAAAGGAATTTCTTTATCATTTTCCATCTGCCCATCATACCCCCCATGCGTTTCCATTCCTGAGAACTCAGGTGTTATTCCTCTGTACCCAGTAAATTCACGCCATATCCCACCCTTCAAACCGAAACATAGCCATGCAAACACAACTGCTTCACGGTTGAAACACGAATGGGACAGAGGTACACAAACATTCAGTAGTTTTTGCATGAAAGAGTAACAAACATTAATCCATTCATCATTTCGAGCTTGCACAATTATAATATTAACAGGGTATTTTATTGCTTGTCAAACAGTAATAGTTTTGTAAAGATTTGGGCTTATTTTTAGAAGCACTAAATGATACGCGCTCGATCAAGCCGCTTGAGGAACTTGTAGGCGATAGAATACTAACAGGATGCTAACTCCTGCAGCTGCTGAAACTCGGCCGGTGAGAGTTTGTCCCATTGAAACCCAGTGGCCGCAGTGTTAGGCATATCCCCCTGTAACAAACGGATAGACATCTATTATTCAATGCTCAAGATGTGTCTCATGATTGGCTGGACAGTTTCTAATAAAATATACCAGGATAAAGTTTTTTTTTTTATACAACTTAGAATGGCAAACAAGCTGACGGCCCACCTGATGGAAAGTGGTAACCGTCGTCTATAGACATGAGCAGTACCATGGATATAACAGAGAATACTGTTTCGCCCATGATACTCCCCATGCGTTGCCATTCCTGAGGACTCTGATGTTATTTTTCTGTACCCAGTAAAGTTTTTTTAATGAGTGATAATGGAATAGTAACCCCACCCTCGCTATCGGTATACACCGGCGGGGCACCAGTGAAGGATGATAGATGAGGACGAAGCAGGTCAGTTAGCACATCGTGACAAATTTAACAAGAATTGTTCACGATGGTTTCGAGGGGGAACCACGTGGAGGTCAACCTGATAGGGTAGCAATGAGGCTAGTTATCAAACTCCATTACTAACAATCCCTTTCCCCCCTTTAGGATAGAGTTAGGATTGGTAAGATTAAGTTAGGATAATTCAATCTTAATATTTTGTTTAAACTGCTATAGAAATGAAAATAGTATATTTAATATAATAGATTAAATATATATATATATTATTAACTAGTTGTTTCCCGCGGCGTTGCCCGCTTCTAACTATGTAGTTCCCGTATATCATCCCCATTGGAATCCTTCATTAATCCGATCTTAAATTGTATTATATACTTAAATGATAATTACGTACCTAATACCCTCATAAAGTGTCAGCCAATTCAACTGATCGGTTATTTTATAGCATTTTATATGTGAATCTTTAGATTGATATAACTTTTTTATTTATCAACCGATTGATGTAAAACAAACACCAAATGCTAAGTGAAGTTAATCGCAATACATTAGTGGAAACCGCGTTCAAATTAGTTAAGCCGTTTCTGAGATTAGCGTGCACAAAACCAGACGAAAATTCTAAAATTCATTGTTTTGGGTTCCATTACGTTTATAACATAGTCTTTCTTATATATCTTCCGTGTACAGATAACGACCAGTTACGATTTTATTATATGTATTGACTGAACGATTGATTTGGATTCTATTTGCTTATTAGTTACTTTTTTAGAAAAAAAAAAAGACTTCTGTGTAAATCATAGTATAAAATAGTATTCCGCCATCTGCATACTTTTATCTTTTATACTACGCTATGGTTTTATTGCGGCGTTTTTCATCAGTAAATGGAGCGATTCAAGAGAAAGGTTTATACATACATTTCAATATTGTTTATTTACCTATTTATTTTGGCGTAAATTTACTGGGTACAGAGGAATAACATCTGAGTCCTCAGGAATGGCAACGCATGGGGGGTATCATGGGCGAAACAGTATACTCTGTTATGTCCACGGTACCGCTCATGTCTATAGGCGACGGTTAGCATTTTCCATCAGGTGGGCCGCCAGCTTGTTTGCCATTCTAAGTTGTATAAAAAAAATTACCGATTTAAATGATTCTTTTTACCTTTATAAAGCTATAGTATTTTATTTGAAACTAGCTGTTGCCCGCGACTTCGTCCGCGTTTCCGTCGTTTTTCTTAAAATAAATAGCCTATGTCCTCCCTCACGATTCAGTGGTTTTGATGTAACAGACACATTTCCCTTCACTGCTTTGCTCCTATTGAGCGTAGCGTGATGAAAAGTATACTATAACCTGCCCAGGAGTATGAAGAATAATTGTACCAAGTTTCGTTAAAATCTGTCGAGTAGTTTTTGTTTCTATAACGAACATACAGACAGACAGACAAAAATTTTACTGATTGCATTTTTGTCATCAGTATCGATCACTAATCACCCCCTGATAGTTATTTTGGAAATATATTTCATGTACGGAATTGATCTCTCTACAGATTTATTATAAGTATAGATAAACCGTGCGAAGTCGTGGCAGATTATTTGTATCGCATATAAATATATGCCATGGGAGAAACAGCATCCCCATATAATAACCTATCATATGTCAGCATATTGAACACGTCCATACATTGTAAAAGGGTATCATATTATCCGCCATATCCGGACATCGATCACTGTCCGGATATCCGAGTTGACGTGTCAATGGACCTTCATCAATGGATCATAACCGGGTCACGAATTAGTAAATTATCATCGAAAATTTGATATTACAATGAGCTTGTGTACTACTTAAAAACCGACTTCAATGGTGATAAAACCAGCTATATCAATTTTCATAAAACTTTTACTACTCCTATACAGAAATTATACAGCCCGTATTACTGGCTGATAATGTAGCTCTTTTTTTATACAACTTAGAATGGCAAACAAGCTGACGGCCCACCTGATGGAAAGTGGTAACCGTCGCCTATAGACATGAGCAGTACCATGGACATAACAGAGTATACTATTTCACCCATGATACCCCTAATGCGTTGCCATTCCTGAGGACTCAGGTGTTATTCCTCTGTACACTGTAAATTCACGCCATATCCCATCCTTCAAATCGAAACACAGCCATGCAAACACAACTGTTTCACGGTTGAAACACGAATGGGACAGAGGTACCTAAGCAAACGACTTTTGTACAAAGTCTCCGTTTAGTATTCTGAATTCAGTATTTATTGTTTCATTTATACTCTTACTGAATGTGAAACATAACCATAATAAATTCATTTATTACAATATATGTTATGGTCGAATTTCGACCACGCAGCGACCACTAGTATTGAGTAAATACATACTCGTAAATATCTGTCGAACATGGCTCTTCATGTTGACAACATATTAATACGATGCAAGATAGCAGCGACAGAAACCCGGATATATCCGGTTCATGTCGGGAGTACACGTCCGCAGTTTATCAGATGAGCTCCGGCGACAGAACCGGTTAACCGGTTATGTAATATGTAATAAATATATATATATATATATATATATATATATATATATATATATATATATATATATATACATATAATAAAGCTGTAAAGGTCGAACATTTGTACGTAGAAAAACCAAGTCAGGGGGATGTTAGAAGTGAAATAGAATACGTCTAGATTTTTTAAAAATTTTTGTTTCTCTGCTTGTCTGTTTTTATTATTTTATATTATAATTAGTTGCACCGACAAGAGGAAACTCTTAAATGAAAAAGAAAGCTTGTCTGTTTGTACGGGCTAATCTCCGAAACTGTTGGACCGGTTTGAATGAAATTTTGCATGATAGTACTATACATCCCTGGTCAACATTTTAGATTTACTTTTAATTACGGAAAATTAAAGAGTTCCCGTGGGATAGTTAAAAATCTATAGTAACTTATACAGCCTAGTATACAACCTACTTAAGTAAAGTCATTTTGACATAAGGCAAAGAGTGAGAACGACACGTCATTTGTTAATTTTGGTCCAGTATTCCCAGACATCTATACTTATATAAATCTGTAGAGAGGTCAATTCTGTACATGAAGTATATTTCCAAAATAATTATCTGGGGGTGATTAGTGATCGATACTGATGCCAAAAATGCAGTCAGTAAAATTTTTGTCTGTCTGTCTGTATGTTCGTTATAGAAACAAAACTACTCGACGGATTTTAACGAAACTCGGTACAATTATTCTTCATACTCCTGGGCAGGTTATAGTATACTTTTCATCACGCTATGATCAATAGGAGTAAAGCAGTGAAGAGAAATGTTGGGAAAACGGGAGAAATTACTCCATTTTTAAGCTTCCGTCGCGTGTGCAGCCTTAATGGCGACTTTTTAAAATGTAAAAATGTCCACTCGTGCGACGCCGGGACGGGCCGCTAGTTATTGAATAAATAAAAAGAGTTTTTACGCATTAAAAAGATGCAACAATTATAAAACAAAATAAATATAGAAGTTATAAACAAAATAAACTAATAATACTACTCGTAAACAGAAACTAAACAGCCCGTATTACTGGCTGATAATGTAGCTCTTTTTTTATGCAACTTAGAATGGCAAACAAGCTGACGGCCCACCTGACGGTAAGTGGTAACCGTCGCCTATAGACATGAGCAGTACCGTGGACATAACAGAGTATACTGTTTCGCCCACGATACCTTCCATGCGTTATAATTATAAGAGGAATAACACCTGAGTCCTCAGGAATGGCAACGCATGGGGGGTATCATGGGCGAAACAGTATACTCTGTTATGTCCACGGTACTGCTCATGTCTATAGGCGACGGTTACCACTTTCCATCAGGTGGGCCGTCAGCTTGTTTGCCATTCTAAGTTGTATAAAAAAAAATAAAACCGAAATTAAAAAAAGAACAAACTCTGAATACAAAAGATATATGGCAACACAGTGACTAATAAACAATTAACAGTACAAGTAATTTGTTAGCAGAAATAAATAATTCTTCCCATAACTTATTTAGGTCTAATACCTTAAGAGTATTTCTGTGTACAATAAACAATTCATAGGTATTAAGTGGCGTATCGTCAGATATCTGCTGTCGACGTGGATGGACCTTTAGTAATCCCATAAAACGTAATTAGAACTGCCATGTACACCGTTCTGTAATCTCATAAAAATATGTTTTTCTTTGCGAGTACAACAGGTGGCAAACGAGCATGTGGTTCACCTGGTTTTTTTTTTTTAATGGATGATAATGGAATGGTACCCCACCCACGCTATCGGTATACACCGGCGGGGCACCAGTGAAGGATGATAAGTGAGGATGAAGTAGGTCAGTTAGCCCATCGTGACGAATTCAACAAGAATTGTTCACGATGGTTTCCAGGGGGAACCACGTAGAGGTCGACCTAATAAGGCATATTGCTAGCAATGGGGCTGTCAAACTCCATCACTAACAATCCCTTTCCCCCCTGGTTCACCTGGTTGTAAATGACTACCGTCGCCCATGATCACCTACAACACTAACGGCATTGCAGGTGTGCTGCCGGCCTTTTATATAATATATGAATAAATTAATGAGTATACTTTATTTGCATTATACAA